TTTAGCTTTTGACCCTTGTGTTTAAATATTAGCTGACTTACCTGATGATACTGATTTCAGGCTTAGCAAAAAGAGAGAATGGTTTTAATAGGATCTGAATGTTTAAACTTTTTTTTCTTTATATAGGTTCATCTGCAAATAGGAAAAAAAGCCTTTTCCATATTAAGGAAAGTAAAGATTTAAAAATTCTGAGGGCTGTAAACAGCACTTTGAAAGCTGCTGGTAGGGAATATGATATACCTTTAAACTTTATCTCTGCATTTTTATTGATAAGGAGACAGATGAGACTGAAACACTACAAATCTTGCAGGCTTTTGATGATTTTTACTGATGTCAGAAGTTATGTTAATTTTGCATTAACTCATTTCTAGCTTTTGTGCACTTCAGTATTATCACTGAACACTGTTGCCAGAGGCAACTGGCAGCAAACAAGATCTCACCTATCTTCCATCTCTGCCATAGTATCTCTCCTGTATGGTTTTGATTTTGGGGTTTCTTTGAGCATTTTGGAAAGCTAGCTAATTGAGGGGTAGTCTGCAAGCTAACCATTGGGCTGGGTATAAGCACTCAGAATTTAATTAAGGAGTTTCCCAAATCATCCACCTCTAAAGGCAGATGTCAGTCCCAGAGAAGAGGAACTCACTCCCACTGATTTTGCTGCAGTCCCTACTGGGTTAAGCAGCTACATTTAGCAGGAACTGCATTTCCCCAAAGAGAGGGAAGTAAAACTGTTCTGTGCACTGTTCTGTGCAGCTGTTTTCCATTGGCTTTTTTGACAAATTTAAGTTCTTACATAAAAATAAAACAGAAATTGTGGCAGTTGTCTATGTAGTGCAGAGAATTGCTGGGGGGGGGATGTTTATCATGTTCAGATTCAGAGCAGAACTTGTTTTGAAGCCTTCAGCAATGGAAAAAAACAAGACAGAAACTTTGCAGACAGATTATTGAAGGAAAACAAGAGAAAACGCATGGAGAAGTGTTTGCTTAATAGTTTATGATGAAATGAGGTATGAAACTTGTTCGTATGTACAAATAGGCTTGAAATAGGAGGGATGCTGACGGATATCTCTTCTTCCTTGAGGCCCTCAGCACAAAAGGTTGAACTGCTTTATACATTTAACTTTTCAGATGGCAAGTATACAGAAATGAAACCAAACTAAAAGAATAAAAGGATTAAATGGCATTATCGAATTACTTATTGTTAGTTTCCCAGAATCTTTTAATCTTTCTACAACTCGCATTGCCCGATAACATAATACTGTAATTCCAGAGCTGAAATTGCCTTTAATAAGTTTTAAAACGTTTTGTTGTTTTACAAATCAAAAATGCAGCGGTGTACTAGGTGTGGGTGGCAAGGTGCAGACAGTGAGGGATGTGGCCACTGCTGATGTGGCCTCTGTGAGAAGAGACCAAGGGTTGCACTGGGTCAGACACAGTTCCAATTAGCTCCAAATGGAAGGAACCACCTTTTACTTCTCATGGCATTACAGTTAAAGAGACAGAAGTTTGCTAATGGATCTATGACTTTAATGGAAGTAAAAACAAGGACACATCTGCAAAAAGGCATTCAAGCTGTGATAGAATTTTGAGTGATCCACAAGTGACAGTTGTCTGGCTGCATCTCTGTAGCTGTTCTTGCAATATTTCATTTGGAAATAGAAAGAAAAAAGCTCGTCCTTAATTCTAATTATCTAGTTTCCTTCATTTCTGGTTTCTCACAATACAAATCTGACCAACTGAAAAGTGGCATTAAAAAAGTTTGCGTCTCATAATTCATTCAAATCACTGCTTTCCTGTTACCTCACTGGGTGATCTTTTGCAAAATTAATGCTGCACATTAACACCTACTTAAAGAAACTTCTATCTACTTAGAAAAGACTCAAGAACTCTATTCACTCATTATTACAAGGGGAAAATCAAAGAATAAACAAACTATTGGTACTTATTCTACTTCCATTTCCCCAAATCTACCTGAGACATTTCTAGCCCAATTTTGCAATCATCTGAAGACCTCCTAGTTCTGGTTCCAGGAATGATTACCTGCAATAATTAGCACTGTAAATCTAAACACAACTTTTCAAACCCCAAAGCTTTGTTCTGATTGTAATTTTTTGTTCAAAATTCACAGTTGCATTTTAATTTCTGTATATCTGGTTTTAATCATCTACATTAAGCTTAGATATTCAGTTCAGCAGAAAAAATGCTCACCCTTAAAATCAGAACTATTTCAAATTCTCCCAAAAGAAAAATTGCAAACAGGTTTAAAAGTCCAACTCTGTATTTTTTTCATTCCTGCAAGTAGCTTTGACCAAGTTTAGTGGAGCTCCTCATATATTACAGGTCACAATGATGAAAGATTATTTAAAATGTAGGTTAGGAATCTGAAAAATTTTCCAAACTGGTATATTTGGGAAGTAGAAGATACATTTTAAACTGTGTTATCTGTGTTACTTCTTGAAGTTAAAAATTTGAGATTCGAAAAGTACCAAATCCTTGTCACTTCTTATTATGAAGGAATTTTAAATATTTTTAATTAAAATCAAAAATTATTCAGTACATCAGCAATAATTAGGCTGCAGTAATAAAAGGAATCTGTTATGCAGTCCATAACAAAAAACTATTTTGAAAATGTGGGAAATATAATGAGCTCTGCACACTGCAGAGCAAGGTAGCCTCAACTACAGCGTTTAACCACATAGTCTTTCCAAGAGGACTATTTTGTTGTTATACATTTCCTTTTTTTTTTAACCTTTTTTTCTCCTTTGGTAAACATTTATCTGTGTCAACAGTTGAGTTAAAGATGGCATGGAATTTTGTCTTTTTTATTGGGCTGAAATTTTGGTGATGTTCCCTAGTTTATGGGGAGTTAGTTATGTGGTCTTTAGAATCATAGAATCATTGGGTTGGAAAAAAAAATTCAAGATTTTCAACCAAACACCACCATGTCAAGCAAACCATAACACCAAGTGCCACACGCAGTAGTGTCTTGAACAGTTCCAGGGATAGTGACTCCATCACTTCCCTGGGCAGTCTGCTCCCATGCTTAACTAGCCTTTCAGTGAAGAAATTCTTCCTGATGTCCAACCTGAATGTCCCTGGTGCAGCTTGAGTCCATTTCCTCTTGTCCTGCTGCTGATTGCCTGGGAGAAGAGACCAACCCCCACCTGGCTACAACCTCCTTTCAGGGTGTTGTAGAGAGTGATAAGATAAGGTCTCCTCTGAGCCTCCTTTGCTCCAGGCTGAACAGTCCCAGCTCCCTCAGCTGCTCCTCATTGGACTTATTCTCTAGACCCTTCACCAACTCCATTGCCCTTCTCTGGTGTCCTTCCAGCACCCTGTGAGGAACTGGATTTTTTAATTGCCTTAAAACTTTGCTACTGTGGCAAGCTGTGTAAAGAAGCCTCCTGCCAGGAGACTGAAGATAAAGGCTGAGGGAAGGAGGGCATAGCCTACAAACTCAGCTTCATGGAGGCCAGGGGTCAGTCTCTGGGTGTGTGATGCTTATCTCTCATGAGCCAGGCCATGCCAAAGGGGGCCCTCTGTGCACACACCCACAACTAAGCCTGAGAAGGCCTCACTCTTAGCAGGGGTGACTTTGAAGGGCCCCCCACCCCCAGCCTAAATGTGCAAAAAACCAGCACCTCCAGCCTCTGAGCCATTTTTACAAAAACAGCATGACTCTGCAAAACTAGCACACACACACACTGGGAAAGTACCAGGAGGGTTTCTGAGGGTACATAAATCCGTCAGACTTTATGTTTCGTGGGCTTCTTTCCCCCACCACTCCCCGACAGACCAAGATAACAGTGACAACAACTGAGTTCACTGGAGACCTCTGGATGCTAAATATACACCCTTATTCTTTCTTTCTTTCTCTCTTTTCTCTTACACATTTTATTGGGTGATATCTTTAAGCTTTTATATTCCCATATTTCTATAGATAATAACAACCTAAATGGCTACATACCTGTTTTGCTTTGCAACTAGATTGTTCTAAAATATACCACATATATATATATATATATTTATAAACACTGATTATCTAGTGTTGATTTACATTAATCCACCCCAAGGGATTTATTAGCTAAAAAACCCAAAAGTTACTTTTGCCTTGGTCTTCCTGGCCACACCGTTTTTGATACAGGCTAGGCTCAGAATAAGATATCAGATATCTTATTTAGCTCCAGAATAAGATACCTATCAAAAAGAATTTCTGTTCTGTGTCTGCATAGTGTTACACCCCTTGCTTTGCTTTGTGTCTCATCTGAAGCAATTGCCTTCTACTCCTCCACACCTTTCCTATGGAAATCTAGACAGAATGATAAGTAGGATTTTCTGCATGCCCTGGTCTTACCCCATTGTGGACACAGGGTCTTTTCAGGACACAAAAGCTCCCATGTGCTTTGTGCTCACCACTCCGGATGTAGCCTTGGGTATCTAAGTACTGCAGATAAGTGCCAAGACCTTGAATTTGATTTGATATTCTATGGGAAGGAATTGTAAAGAGCAAAGGATGAGCTTAATGTGCTCCCAGTAGCAGTGCTGCTGAGGAGACGTGCGGCTGCATTCTCTATTAGCTGGAGTTTCCCAAGTGTTCTGCTGCTTGAGAGAAAAAAAATCAAGGCCTCAAAGAAACAATATCCTTTTAGGAAGTGTTCACACAGGCACATGGCAGCTGTACAGCCAGAAGACATGATCAAGGGGAAATTTCTCATATTTTTCCATTAGGCACAATTCTTTTCTGCTGAAGCTTCGTCTTTTTAATTTACCTTTGTATTATTTGACTTCAAAAGATGTAGTGACTAAACGCATTATGTTTTCTGTTTAGCAGTTCTAATTTTTTCTAGGTAAATCTTTGGAAACAAGAGAAGCAAGCTGAAGTATCTGATGAGTTTAATAGGTAAGGTTGTGGGTGGTTGTTTGTATCTAAGAGTGATGTCACTGCTGCCTGTGTTGTTGTTTTGCGGTGTGTGCTCCTTGGAGAGCTACAAATGGAAACACACACACTGCCTAGCAGGATCACAAGGAACAAGGTATGAATGTCAGAGGAGCTGAATGAGGGCCCTTCACAGAGGCATGATATATTAGGTAACTTCTCATTTTCACTATTATTTTCACAGATTCTTGACACAAAAACACACGTATCCATAGAAGTAGAGAGTCTTACCAAAGTCATTCCAGCAGCCAGTATTTCCTTCTGTGTTTTATTTCTTCTGACAGCAAAGTAAAAATCCAAAACCCATTATGTCATAAGAGTGCAGTCAGCCCTGCTGTCAGCACACTGGTTAGACAGAGGAAGGGAGCACAGCAGAGAACAGGGAAAATTGTTGGTAATTTGAGTTATAAAGTTCTGTCATATGTAGCATGTATACACCAAATCAATACTTTTTCTACATTTAAAAGCATAGAACAAGTTCTTTTCAAGGTACAGAAATATAAACTTTGAGTTAATTTACTTGTTATCTCCAACCAAGATGGAAAATATGTTGGAGATCGAATACAAATTGTGATTAATAGTCTGGAAACAAACAAACAAACAAAATCCCAGAGTTATCATTCTTACAGGACAGAAATTTCTGAATTTAGATTTATGATTGCCTTTGGGTTAGGGAAAAACCAGCACTCCCTAACTAATGTAATGTTGCTGTTCAGCCTGTCATAGCTCACTACATTGACCAGCAGGCTGTTTGCTATTGAACTTGTGGCCTATCAAGCTCAGAAATCTAGAGTTTTATCTACCAGGTGACAAATGGTAATGGAAAGGAAGAATATCAGAGACAGCCCTCAGAAGAAAAGCAGCTGACAGAGAGAGCTGAGGCAGCACTGACATGTTGGCAAACATATACTTGCAGTGAAAGTGAATTTAGGAACTGAACTGCAAAATTCTACACTCATTCCTCAAACATGTCGTAGAAGTATAATTCAGCTCAATAATGTGGGTTTCTTTTCTTTTGCAGTCTTCATCAGTCTATAGAGAACAGATTTTAGAACACCATTCTTTTTCTTACAGTTTCTAATTTTGCTTTCTATTATAGAAAATCAAAATACAGTCTTGTTTCTACCACTCACACAATCCTGAAATGCTGTGTACATCCATTAATCCTGCCATCATGGTCATGTCTCAGTTTTGTGTTTAGAAAGAAGGTATTACTAAATTCATATTCCTCACAGAAGCATTTTTAGTTTACCTTCATTCTCCCTTGACACTTACCTACACATTTTCTTCAAGTTCCTTTGAGTTTTTCCAGCTTCTCACTGAGATCACTTAAAGATAGGTGGAGATGAAACATACTCTGTTATCAAATAATTCTCCATAATAAAATAATCCAGAAGAGTTGCATAGAGATTGATTTCTTATGTCAGTCAGAAGATCATGAGGTGATTGAAAAACGAGAGGATACATGGTAAAAATAATAATAATAATAATGAAAGATAGAGTTCTGAGGTAATGAAAACTCATGCTTGTGCTGTTTGGTATTCACTGCCTTAGCTCACACTTCAGCTCTGTGCTGTCAGCCAGCAGCTCCTTTACTCAGAGGTTTCCTTTTTTCCCCAACTGTGCATCTGTGAAAAGTTCTCCACGCTGTAACATTTTCTTTAATCTCAGCACTAATTTTGTAGCACTAAAAAGTTCATAATATGAAAAGGGAAGAATCTAGTAATAATGTTTTTTTAAAAAACCTTGAATATGGGCAAGGCTCAAGCTTCTCACAGATGAAGGTACTTTTTAAGGGAGCTCCAGAGTTATGTGACTATGTATTATTTTTTGCCACAGATTCCAGGGGAACACCTGCAGTTATAATGACTCCCACACACTACAAAAGTAAAAAGAAAAGTAGAAAGGTTTTGGTTGTGTATGTTTTTGATTGTGTGGTGTGGCTGGTAGCTTCAAGGAATGATGGAGAGAGAGGATGGGATCCCATCATGGCATGGGCATAATGATGGTGGTGTTACCTAGTAGGAGTGGCCCAAGTAAAAGCTGAGTAGAGACATATGTCACTATGTGTAGAAATGTATGTAAAGAGACAGTGAGGAAAAAATGTTTTCCACATAATTTAAAAAAATAGCATTCTATAATTGATCCTTATGGGCCCTTTCCAACTCAGAATACTCTGTGATTTCTGTGGCGTTAAACTCTAATTCTAGATAATTAAAGGCAAAAGACAATATTTTGAGAGCTTATCCATAGTACATGTGTGTGAAGATGCAATAAAATGAGAAGTAGTTTACTAGAAAAAGAGAATATTATTTCTATTGATTACAATTTGGTTACAATTACTGCAACCTGCCACATTTCTAAGTTGTAATTTCATATATGACAGTAAGGACAAAGAAACATGTTGCCCTTAAACTGTATCTTTGTATCACTTTCATTGCAATTCACTTTTCTCTGTGGTAACCAATTAGACATCAGAAGGTACATTCCTTTCACTGTCATCTTCTGCAGAGAGCCTTAGGGGGAGCTTTTCTTTTGAAAAACACAGTGGAGAGACAGGCTGCACTGTTTGGGGTATTTTCACTATAGAAAGCCATGGACTTTTTTCATCCCTTTCCTGGAAATAATCTCAAATAATTATTTGAGAAAACACATTTAATGGCAATACTTCACAAAACAAATGCACACTTTCTAGTTCAGTAAAACCAACACAAAATTGATTACAGTGTTGGAAGATGACATAGCATTTCCTCCCTCCTGTTTCTCTATAAATATCATGCTGAACTGTTCAGGATCTAAGGTAACTGAGTAGATGGTGAGTGAATCTGATTGCACTATGATGGGGGAATAACCAGAAATTCTGATAATCTCTGGCTTCAAAGATTTCAGGGATCCTCTTTTTGTTATTTGTTTGTTTAATGTGTGTGTGTTTTGTTTTGTTTTTCTCTTCCTTGTGTCCATCCTTGTAGCCTTTTTATTTAGGGATAAGGAGAAACTGTACTACCTATTAGCACAAGGCAGAGCTCCATCTTCTGTGCTAGTACCTGCTGTTTGTGCTGTTAATAGAACCAAAAGGAGGCACTTTGTTGCCAGAGTTCAGGTTTTTATCATGAGTTCTGTGACATTTCTTGTTTCTACTTCAAAGTGCCTCCCTGTGAAGAGGGAGCTTTGTGGGACAGGATTGTATCGATTTGTCAGGTGTGGGTGGTGGCTCTGTGGCAGGCTGGTGGCAGGAGCAGTGATGCCCTGTGATGTACACCAGCCCCAGAAATTTCAGCCTCTGACCTATGGAACTGAATTAGTAATTTTCCACCACAAGGCAATGCTGTGACTCCTTCTGCCAGGAGCAGCTGTTGAGAGGTATATCAGATTCTAAGGCTCTTCAAAGCCTGGGAACTCCTGTTTTATTACTATGCCTGAGACTCCTGACCTTATTAATGCCTTCAGGGTGTGAGCCCAAATCCCTCAAGCAGAGGTGGCTGCCCAGAGACACTGACTATTGCTGCAATCACTAGAGCCTTATGTGTTTTTAATCTGGGCTGTTTGCTCATCTCCACCTAAGAAATATTTTTATTAATAAAGCCATATGAATAGAACGACGTTGACATTCAAATGAACAACATAACATAAAGGCAACTTCTCCCATCCCTCTAAGTAGATTGCGTTAGTGAGAATTTATAGCAGTACAGGTTTCTGTTGTATTACAACAAGCATTAGTATGAGTGCCTGCATGCTGAACATTTGTAAAATAACAACATCTTCAAGGGTGCACCATTATACTCTAAGTGCCAGCGTTATTTCAAAAGAAACTGTATTGCTTTTAACATTTTCATTGTGCACAGAAGTCGTAATGAGACACAATGCTATGTTTGCTAATATGTCTCATCTGTATTTTCACAGAGCAGAATTCTCAGTATTTACAGCAACAAGTGCTTATGATCAAGAATTTTGCTTTGACAATGCAAATCCCCTAAATAAGGTTGAAAGATGCTTTAATTCAAAGCCTAGGAGTAAAATGCCGTTGTCTCATAGCCTTAGCTTTTTTCCTACCTTACACGAATCTACAAAATGATATCTGTTTTTACCTTCCTGCGCTTGTTTCTCTGATCCCTGTCTAAAAAAATGACTAACCCAACAGAACACCTCACCAGCGTGGCAGTGAAAAGATTGGTGCCTATTCATGGAAAACGCCTGAAAGCTCTAACTGTCCAAAAGTGAGCTGAGTATCAGATTTGTAATCCTGCTCTGCTGACAGCTTAACTGTTTCTTCTGAAAAGGCGCTTGCAGCACAGAAGAAGGAAAAGGCCTCACAACAATCTGCACAATCCCACGTTATTTACTACCTATCTGTGTAGCACAGCTTCAGCTGGCAGAAAGAGTTAGGGCTGAGAAAGAGAGAGATGCGTACCACTGCTTTGAGAAATGTAAATAAGATTAGAGCTGCCAGTCCCTGCTGAGAGGTAAATTTCTTTTCCAGGAGCTGAACACACCTTTTTTTTGAAACAGAATCTTTGTTCATGGGAACTGCTAGTCTGCATCCATCTGCCACACTTAAACCCTGGACCCTGTGAATAATCACTGCTCGTTGAGTGCAGCTGAGGCAAAATAGGTAATGTCTTCCTGTTCTACGTGTCTGGGAGCTAATCTTCCTTTGGCAGTGAACTTGTGGTCTGTCAGCCTGAGTTCCTTTTCATTTATATACATATTTTGCTCCGTGCGGATGAGGGCAAAGAGAGAAGCACAGGGGGAAACTCAAGGAGTAAACAAACTGTACCAAACAGCTGGGGTGATCAGCTTGCAAATCTAGATAAAAGATATCATCTGCTACAGCTCGCCTGGTGCACTATTGCTGTTCCTGCATTGCTGGCAGAATTCATAAACCAGGTGTTGGACATACCCATACAATCTGGGTGGGAGGAATGTTTGAGTTGATAGAGCTATTGCGACTGGCCCACTGCAGAAATTATCTATTTGAGGATGTGATTTCATATTTCAAAATTTACTATGCCTACCCATGGCCATACTCTAGTATGCTTTACAAGTGGTTAATGTTAAAAGCTGGTCAGACTTCAGCTAGATCAGAAAATTCTTGGCCAAGGGCATAACATAGTAGTTCTCTGGTAAATGCAAGTTTTTCTGGTTTGGGTTATAATGCAGGGCGTACTTTTCTTTATTTTCACAGAAGAACAACATGTTTTCAAGCAATCTAAGAGATTACCATTCTCCTAAAATACAACATCATTCTGAGGGTGTTAAGCTGAATCTGATATGTGTAATAAATAGGCTTAATTTGATGACATTTAAAGAACATAGTGTGTCTCTTTTCAGGCTTTTTGGGAAAAGAAGGTTTGTAATGGCCTTTCAAGATGTATGTTTAAGGAAAGTTTCTATTTAAAAGTCAAGCATGCCTAACATTTTACACAATCAAGTCTGACTTACAAATAGCTCAATTATCAATCAACACAATGAGAATCTATACTCTGCAGCCTATCAAATAACTGACCTTTACCACAGAAGCAGACATCGAAGGAATGGAGAAAAAATAAATAATGGTTATTATAAATATTCTCTACTGGTAACCCTTTTTTTTTTTCTTCTTGAACCCTCGGGAAAACTAATAAATGATGAAACTTTGCAGCTACTTCCACATCGCTGGTGTCAAGTACCCAAGTCAGAGCTTGCCACCTCTCCTGCCACAGCGGGCCACATAATTTGGCTATGAATCCATGGAAAACCCTCTTTCCATGTGTCTAACCATATGCCCAGAGTCATTGTTGTACAGAGTCCTGGCTGCATGCACTCACGCTGTCACATAGCTGGATATGCTTTTTCACATGGCCAGATGCAAATCTCTCTCTCCTTGTGCTTCAGTTCACAGTGTAATCCTTGGCACAGTGTAATCCTGTGTCATCACCACTGTGTTGGTGCTGTTAGACAAGCTGCCTCCTCTCTGGAAAGGGGTCTGAGACTCTGGAGCCTCATCACAGTGCCACACTCGAGGTAGCTCAAAAAAGCCATCAGTCCATTAGGCTGTTGAGCAACCAGAATAACTCTCATAGTCTGAAGCCTACTTCCCACCTTCTTGCTAGGACAGCTGTCCTAGGGAGTGTGTGTCACTTCAGCCACTCTCCCAGCTACCGTTTGCCAGGGCTTCCCTTGTAATTCAGCTTGGGGTGAATCTTCTACTCAGATTTTTAAAGATGCAGAGCAGTGTGTTCCAGAGAAAGCTCACTTTCTGCCTAAGGGCATGTAAATGTTGCCATTAACTTCTGTCTGTATTCCAATTATTTATAAAGATTAGATTTAAGATAACAGCTTCTGAGAAGTATTGGAGTTGCTCACACTCATGAAAATCACTTCCTACAGTAATGTTGTGATGAGTCTCCAACTTTCCACACTCAGTGGGTGTTCCCTAGGTCATAAATATCACTGACCCTGAGCAAATTATGTTTTTATTCTTCTCAGGGTGACTGAGACATAAGATGTATTTTTCTCTTCAGAGAATTTCTATGTATTAACGTATGAAATACTTGTCCAACAGGCATACAGCTCTGCAAACTTGTGCATAACCATCAGGTCGTGCCTTAGGCCATTGAAACGAAGGGGTTAATCTTTTCGCCGCGGTGAGTCACACGATGTCCCCGCGTCCTCCGGGAAGTTAAACTCGCTTGACAGCGCTAAGGAGCTGCAGAACAAGCATCGTTCCCTTTTGGCGCCCAACAAGAAATCTCACCTCGATGGAGAAACCTGTGCCTGAACCGAGACCTGCCACTCGGCACCCACCCTCGCCTCCCACCCCCGGCTGCCTTCCTTGGGGCTGGTAAAATACTCCAAAAATCCATGGGAGAAGGAAGCAGATCCCTCCCACCTTCCACCGCCCCGGGCTGTCGCTTTAGGTGCTGGGAAGGACCTGCCCCCGCGCGCATCTCCCGCCAGGTGGTGCAAGAAACCAAGATTAGACTTTCCCGATATCCCCGTGTTTGGGTGGTTTTTGGTTGTCCGTGCTCCTGGTTGGTTTTGTTTTGTTTTGTTTGGTTTTTTTTTTTTTTTCTTTTTTTTCTTCCCCCCCCTCCCCCAGCCTTACTTGTGCCGTTCTTCAAACCGAAGTTTCAAGACAATAATTAGCCGAAAGGAAACGCCGATATTTTCTTCTTATTTGGACGCCCCCGAGAGCGGGTGATGCTCTCTGCAGTTTGCAGTCTGTCAGCGATAAAGGTTGGTGGGAGGGGGTGAAGGTAGGGAACAGAATGAGCTGCATAAATCCTCCTTCTGCGTGCATAACGATTATAGCAGGAAAATAAAATTTAAAAATTTAAAAAGGCGGATCACTCTTTTTGCATTAGTTGGGGGAAAAAAAGAAGTTTGGAAAATCTATTCCTATACACAGCAGCATAAAATTCACATTAACATCTCATTAAGTCTAAATGCACTTAGGGACTGATCCAAAGGCCATCAAACTCAATGGGAGACTTTCCATTGCCTTCAAATGGGATTTGGATCATGCTGTTAGTGATTGGCAAAAGCTCATATTAACAAAATAAAAAAATTCTGACATTACCTAAAAGGCTATAAAAAGCATTTCCATTCCTTGTTCTGGGAAATCCCTTTTACAGCTGATCAGATGTAATCACAGCAGCCACCTCTATGGAGAAAGTGTCCAGTTAGGCTGACATAAATGTAGCTGAGGTACAAATGCAAACAACACCACTATTTCACAAAATTGGAATGGAAACCTCCATTTTGATCATTGTGAATTATCCATAATAGCAGCGGTAAACCTGAAGTGTTCAGAAGTTAATTTAAAGCTATGTAAATAGTACTTAAAAAGGGGGAGAGAAAAAAGCGACTGAAATCTAACTCAGGAAAAGCATATGCTTCCTATGATAATATTTCATACAAGTCTGGTGTCCTAAGATGAACTAAAATAACTAAAATGAACAAAAAAGTGCTACTAAACTAGACTTTGTATGGTCAAAACCAAACCACTTTATTGTGTACAGTACCATTTAGAGAACTCAGTACATGATATCATCACTATTGGCTCTGTTTTCATGTGTGGAGATGAAAAGTAGTACATTAAAAAAAAAAGAATTAACTGCCTTGGGCAGCTTCAAATTCCTTGATCTTCACTTACTCTTTTAAAACACTGCTTCTGGCAGAGCCAGTCTGGAGCAGAGGGTCCAGCTCTGAGTAGGTTTCTTGTTCAGCTGGCTTTAGCTGGGACCATGTTACTTGGCTGATGGCAGAGATGGGTCAAAAATTTCCTGTTTATGTTTAAAAAACCAAATGAAGTGAAATTACAAACTCCTCATTTTTTTATCTCAAATGTTTTAGAATTGAAACTGATGTGTCTGGTTGGATGGGTAGAATGCTACTGAAGATTTGAAAGACTTGCCTAGTTTTTTTTCTACTGTAGTGTTTTAAATCTCCTTTTTCTCTTTGTTATATTCCCTTTAGTTTGTTTCACTGTGTTCAACATTGCCTTCCTGGTGCTTGGCCCAAACAGTGTGGTGAGAGACTACACCTTCAGGTATCCCCATGTCTCTGGTGAACAGCCTTCTTGTTCCTTGTGTCCCTTCGAAGCTGAACTAAATATTTCAGTTTGAACAGTCTCCTAATTTTTGATTGCTAGAAAACCCTGGGTCTAAGATGGAGCCATGATGTTCTTGTAGGAGTTGCAACTCTTAAAATATTGCCAACAATGAAATTTCACCAAATGAAGAAGGAAGCCGTAGGTATTGCCCAAATTTTTTAAAATGCATCTAATTACTACATGCAACAGTTATGGCAGATCCTAACATTAACATGGTGCTAAAGTTAGCTGGATAATGAGAAAGCAATTTCCATAGTCAGTCATGTAGTTGCACTGATTTAATTTTTACTTTTATTCTCCCATCTCACTCTAACCTCCATTTCCCTTTTCCTCTTTTTGGTCTTCCAAATTTATATAGCCTTTCTGTCTTTCCCCTCTCCGTTTTTGATGGCTAATCTTCATAAAAAATGAAAGGGTCTTGTAACAAGAAACTGTATATTGAAACACATTAAAATACTGTTCAATGATTTGAGCATCAGTTCATCCCAACAGAGATGAGAAATCTGGCCCTCAGCGAGTACTTTGGAGTAACTGCCAGAAGTGACTAATCTTATACAATGTCCCCACACGTTCTAGTAGAAAGGTGATGCCAAGGAAAAAGCTCAGACTGACGTTTGGGTCTGGGATTGTATTTTCACCTGTCTTTCTTTTCTGATTGCACATCACCTTGGCTTCCTTACAGTTAATCTCATCTCACTCTTTCCTGAGTCAAGGGGAGTGTGCCATCGATTACAGCAAGAGCGAAGTGTTTTTTAAGTGTTTCTTCCTTCTGCTTCCTTCTTCACTCCCCTTCTAAAAATCATTAAACACAACGAAGAAACTATCAGAAGTAATATATCTTTGCTTGTGGATAAACCATCAGTTTTGGTATTAAAGCCCCGGAAATGTGTCAGAGCTGGAAAACTAAATTGGAAGCATCTTAAGTCTCAGATTCCTCTTTGAACCACAGCCTCCACACCGTTTTCTTGCTGCAGCTAGTGAAGCACTGTGACCCCCCGGCTGCTAAACCAGCATCAAATCACTGCTGAGATCACTGCCTGCACCCCCAGCCCTGCCAGGCCCTTGCTGGAAGGAAGCAGAGTTGGAAGCTGTCACATCCACAGAGGATAAACAGACATGCTGCTGCTTTTATTTGTCATCACCCAAGGAGACCCAACGTATAAGTGGGGATTTCTGTGGAGAACACTTGTGGATTTAGGTGTTGAGTGCCTGTGTGGAAGCTGAAATCCTTTGTGAATCAGGGCATTGCTTAGAAGCCAGCTAAACTTTATACTGTGTTTTGAAACCAGCTATTGCATGGCTTTATTTTCCATTAATCTGTGAGAAGCTTTCCTTTACTTTTAAAGCAGCAGGGTGAATTGTTTAGACAAACCAAGCTTTTTTCTAGATTTTCAGTTGCCCTGGTAGACAACTACATTATAAAGGAAAAATGAATGAAAAAGCAAAAGCATCTAAATTTATACTCGTAACAGAATAGAATGATTCTGTTACTGGTTGATAAATTAGAAAAGTGGTCATTTAACTGCATCCCTAGTCTTTTAAACAGCAAATTGAGTGATTTGCACAAAAAGCCCAAAACAAAAAACTGCAACATGTTAAATGATGCTGTTGCTCTCTGATGTAGCCATCCAAGCACATGCTGGGCATTCACAACCACAGAAATATTAAATGAGAAACAAAGTGCTTAGCTAGGGTGACAATTCCATCCTCTCAGGTTGTGGCCATATTCTCTCATAGCACAATGATCATGGAAATGCAGCCCTGGTAATGCTTGCTGTTGCCTTTATTTAATGAGAAACACTATTAGCGAGTCATCCAAGTCTCATAATTTTATTCAGGTTTTGGTTGTGCTGGGAAACATATGGGATATTCACATAACATATAGCGTCAAAATTTCACATCTTGAGAAGGAAGTCTATGCCTTACATGGTTAAGTGGTAAGTATTGCTTACTTCTATCACTATTTTACACTTCTATTGTGCCTTCAGATGTCAGATAATTGATACTTAAGCAGATCCTCAAATACTTCTCTGGGAGAGATAAATACCATTATTATCCACAGCAACACAGAAAGGAGAGGTGATCTTTCTGAGTCCATTCATTGAGACAATTTAGCTTGAGAGGCCTGATAACACAGCTATAAACACACAATAGCAGCCTGGCCAACCTCCAGAGTAAAAAAAAAACAAACCCTATTTAAGAAAGTGACGAAAATTATTACTGGGGTTTTTTTTCTACTTGGTTCATAGCCTCAGAGCATGAAGAATACTTGTTTTTTCTTGAGTTAAAGAACTAGAAATTTCCACCCCTTTAAATTTCAGATGATAATCTAGCAGTTTGACAAACCAAGTCAAAAATTTGTAGAGACATCAGGAGGTATTGCAAAATGTTGGAGTTAGCCACCAATCTTCTGTAGGCTTTAAGCCATTTTTCCCATAACAGAAACAGTGAATTAAATTATGTAGTGATCAATGAATTAAACCTAATCAGCAATATTCAGATTTAATGCATGAGAAATTTTTAGTTTCAGATGGAGAAGATAGAAGGACGAAGGTTGAGTGGGTGAAAAGTGCTGTAGGCTGTCAGTAAGAAATCCTTAGTGTCTTGCTCAAAATTCCATTGCTTTAGCATTAGAGCCAATAACTGAATCACATATGATTCAACGGCACTTAAAGTCATTCAAATAATAATAATTAGGTTTTTTCAATCTTGATTAAAATATATTAATTTTTCTATGTTATCATTTAATATTAATTTATAATTAGATATATGAAACATGAAATCCCATTAAATAATCAATATATATTTTATTAATTAGAAAGGGAATGCAAATTACTTACAGGAGCTTATGTGTGGGCCCAAATGCAGCTTTCATCAGTCAGTCAGTTGGGTATAGTTGTTTGAACATAGTTTACTGGGGAAATGGTTTGCCTGTGTCTTCAAGTATGCCTGTTAATGTGAATGAGTGTGTTGAACACATGACTACTGTGTGGTTTTTGCAGAGGAGCACTTAAGGCCCCTGCATTCCTTTTTATTGGCAGACCTTAATGTTTTTCAAAAGTATGATGTGTTTTCAAATATAGATGTTAATAGGAAGGCATGGAGGAAACTAATGTTTCACATTAGTTTGTTATCATAGAATCATAGAATGATTTGCATTGGAAG